ATAGTTCATCCTTATTACCGGGTAGACGAATGATATCAAAAAAATGATCAATACTAGCGAGCCATTTAGACGCATCATCCTCTGGATTACCGAAAAATGGTTTGACAAAATCTTTCATTTGTTGTAACGGATCAATATTAATAACATATTGAATCGATGGAATAGTTGAAGTGATTGTAGACGATTGTGTCGAAACATTCGTTGGACATGATATGGTTGATTGAAAATTCGAAGGATTCATTTGATCGATTAATGATTGAGAAGAAGATTTCAACATCTGTAATTCAGCTTTCAGACGATTAACTTCATTTTGTAATAATTGACCAGATTCATGCGAAAATCGTGCCGGTGATGGTTTCAAAAAATGATGAGATGGTGATGATTTTGGTTCCGTAGTTTGATGTTGTGTACCAAAATGAGCGTGTAGTTCAGGATTCAGTATATGATCACCATATGATTGGGATGAATCTTCAGCTTTTGTAAAAGAACTTGCCATCGAAAATGAATCACGAAGTTGATTAATTGATGATGAAATTGTGGATTCTTTGGAAGGATGATTAGATTTAGTTTTGGAACGTGTGAAATGTTGGTGACTGTGCATAAACGAATATAAAGAAAATAAGATGCAATACCATCGAACACTAGACGACCCGTCCGACAATAACAAAAATTTATCACTTGGCTAGTGCACCAGTTAGAATGTTAGCTTGCCCTTTTTCTTTATTGGAAAAACACGAAGTATATATAGGAAGGGAAAATTGGACTAGTCAGGGAAGAAGTCGAGAGTTTCTTCGTCTGATTGAAAATGAACAACAAGTAGAGTTACAACAAAAGACGTCAGTGAAGAAGAATAGGTCAGACTGGTAAGAACATATAGTAACAACTGAAGAAAAAGAAATATGAAATCATCCATATATCCTAACACTATATTCCTATATTTTTCAAAAAATTAAAGATTATTATGGAAAGAACCATATTTCCTTCAAATAAGTGCCTAGCATGTTGTTTAAATATTACCAGCGGCGTTCATAGCATAATATAAAGCACTAAGGGCAATATTTTCTTTAAATTTTTTCCATCTTAATATCACTTTTAAAAAAATAAAATTCAACACAAATGTATAGATTTACATGTGTTTCGTCAGTAGTTATTGCAATAAACAGTGAAAGAGCACATTCTAATCTATATATTTGTGATGAATTTTATTTCAAAAAAAGTGATATTAAGACAACAGAAAATTTAAAGAAAGTTGCAGCTAGAAAGTGATTCTATTATGTTTGACAGTACTAGAAACGGTGGTGTTTATTTTCAAGTAGCATCAGAAACGAAGAAAACTTTTACCAATGCATCGACTATCTGTTACTAAACCGATTATTTTGCTGTGCTTTAAATATGTATACATTTTGATTATATAACTCTGAGACTGTTAGAAACTATAATAGTCTTGACAAAAGATATCGATTGTTTTCTTTACATTAAAAGAAAGCATTTTTGTGATCTTTATCTCAGTCAATTTTATAATATTTTTATGATATGTACAGGGTGGTAAATAATATTATTCCAGGGGGGTAACACTATGATCTCGAATCGGAGATATCATGAATTTTATACCAAATGAAAGCTCGTGAAAAATGGGGTTTAGTGATAGTAAATAGTAAGACTTTGAAGAACTTTCTTGTATTAATTTATCAAACGTTACGATTTTTATCGACATAAAATATTATAAAATCAGTTCATCGAAAAAGTTCGGGGCTAAACTATATGTTGTACAACTGTTTATTTTCTTATTATTTATTGAGTACAATCAATAATCAGTATGACGACCATTAGCACTCTTTACTGCACGAAGTCGAGATGGATACGAACATAAAAGAGCTTCAAACAATTCGGTATTTTCTTCCATGTCCGTCAAAACATCCGCAATGTGCTTTTTAAGTGTGTCTTCACTATATCGATTATGTCCAGTTTCCGATAACATTTTTTGTTCAACTTCATCTTTCATTATTGATCCAATATGTTCCGCCGCATTGAGATCGGGCGAATTACCAGGCCAAATATCATTGCCCCAAAACTCGATTTTGTTATCTCTAATCAGATGTTGAGTCATGTTTGCTCGCATACACGGTGCTTTATCGTGAACAAATATCACATTATCCAGATCAATTACGTTTTCCTCGTCGGTGAGGAATGGAAATACGTGTTGCATTAAAATAATGTCACGAAAATATTGACCGGTCCAAGATTCACCTTTGTCTTTAATCACCCAATGCATTTTTTTCGCGGTGAAAATGATAAAAATACCGATACACGCTTGGTTTTTAACCATTTCGCGATACCTTTCATCGTCTTCAATATCTTCAACACTTTTTGCCCAAATCCTATCATTTTGATAATTTGGTTTGCGAACTGTCCAAACATAAAATTCATCTGATGGTGCCAGATGAAGAAAATCTTCTTCAGTCCAATCTTTCAACCAATCACAGAGCCATAATCGATCTGATATATGAGTTTCAGATTTTAACGGTCTTGAAATAACATGAAAAGGCTTTAATCCTTCCCTACGACGGTAGTTATTAACTGTTTGTCGAGTAACATATTCTTTTTGTTTCTTTGCAATCTCTTTCGCCACGACAGAACCGCTTTTCCGTTGGTGACCACTTGCTTCACGAATAATGTCCTGAGCAGCTCTCGATAACTTGAGTTTAGGACCAGCATTCGAATAATCAGCAAAACATTGGTCACACGATTTTTCCCACCATTCTGTAACAAATCGAGTCGTACGGTGAATTTTGTCGGCAATCCATTGTCTATTTATAAATGTTGCACCAGCATCACGAGCTTCTCGGAAAGTAATGCATTTAATTCTATCAATCATTCTTTGTTGTTCGGTATCATAAGCGCCAGCCATTTGAAATAACAAACGAAAAAACACTGAGATTTCACTCGACTATAACTTTCAGACAGTCCGAGAACGAAAAAATTTTTCAAATAACTAGTATCACGTGGAGAGAAGAACAGAACGCCAAAGAACCATCTTATTGTGTGAGTCATAGTCATATATCATCATCGTTATCATTTCTCTTTCGTTTTCATAAAAAATGTTCGTTTTCAATGTCTCAAAATGTATGAAAAATGATTTTTAACGTGTTTTTGAAAGAAAATTTCGTTGTTTTTAAAAATTTGGTACACGAAAGTTCTTCAAAGTCTTACTATTTACTATCACTAAACCCCATTTTTCACGGGCTTTCATTTGGTATAAAATTCATGATATCTCCGATTCGAGATCATACTGTTACCCCCCTGGAATAATATTATTTACCACCCTGTAGACAAGGGAGGAAAAACTGACTTTTTGATTTAAATCAAAAATGAAAATCAAAAACATCAGACAAATCAATGAAAATGGTAAAATTTTTAATCTTTGAGCTTGAAAATATCAATCGAGAGTGAAACAGTTGAAATCTGACTGTTTTTTTGCTTCTTTGGATTTTTCCGATTTTTTTTTTAATTTTTTTCAATTTTTCTGTTTTTTTTTGATTTTTCTTATTTTCTTCGTTTAAAATCAATTGGTTTTAATGTAGAAAAATCAAGAGGAAAATCAACAAAATCAACAAAAAAAATCTGATTTCAATTGTTTCCTCCTTGCATGTAGCTGTGATATAGTTGAAGGTTAACCGAACATAAATTATTTCTTTCTGTCTTTGTATAAAATATTGCCATACTACTGTTTTTCATAACAAAGCTGTATTTTTATTTAGGTGAGTCGAGGTACGTTATAAGAACATCACCTACCATTCTGCAGTAGTGATTTTTACATGTCTAGTTGTTTTTAAACGAGATATTAGCGTCCTATATATTTCCTATATATCCGAGGACGATCCTATATATCTGAGATCTAACAATTCCTATATATTCCTATATATTTTTGAAGGGCTGCTGCGAACCCAGATCGTCACATAGAAACAGAGTTATCATCGGTCCACATTTTCAAGAAATTTTTTCCATTCTGCCTTTTCTTTCCGTCCGTCCAGTTCACAGAAAAAGGAAAAAAGAGGTCATTCTTTTATCACTCTCTCGTCCGATTATTGGTCTGTTCTTTTCATTTGGAATTCATTTGTGTCCTGTTTCGTTCACAGAGTAGTTGCCTAACTGAGTAGGCCATTTTATTTCTAACGTATAATTAAAATTAATGTTAAATTCACTATATGTAATGGCACATACTTCTTTTGTGTAAAACTGGATATGTTCGAATTAGATAAGTTCTTTTCTGCGGAAATCACTCAGAACGAGAGAAAGAATAGGACACTTACTGCATGGCTATTAATAGTGAGTTTCTGTGAAAAATACTTCAATATTCACTAGGTTAGTGTTGACTTAGACATAACATGTACGATACTTATGACAATACAACTAGCAGAGTCGCTCGCAGACGATAAACATAGCAGGGTCCATTAAATATTCCTCACTTGAAATGTTTCATATATAATGTTCATCACGAGTACGTGTGACATATGAGACGACAGTTGAGTTTTCTACTCGATGAAAAGGGAATCTTAAGTCATCGAAATATGAATGAGCTTTAAAAGAAATATCGTCACTACAGGAAAAAGCAGATAGCATTCTGATGCATAGGTGTGCCTTAATCAATTTCGCGACCGACTTAATACACACTAATTATGAGATTTCGTAGTGCGTTGATGACATTTCTAGTTATATCATATCTCCGTACTTTGATTTTTAGAATTTGATCGAAATGAAGTTAAATTTATTAATGATACTTGAAAAGAACATCTGTCTACCATAGTAGTTCCGATTGTAGTTTTCCTTATATTAGAAGCTGGTTAGATAGTCCGTGCTTTGCCTTTCTATCAATTCCTGTGTTAGTCGTACTATTTTAAATCTATTCATCAGTCTATCTTATCCGTCACTTATTTGAAACATGAATGGAAATAATTCAGTTTTCTTCTCGTTGATAAACTGACCGATTATATTCAGATTATCATTAGATTAATGTTAAATTGACATATGTTTATTGTTTATACTTTGAAAACAGTGCAGAGAATTAAATCTCTCGTCAGTTCGTTTCGTTTTATGTTAAGAGTAAGTTTACATCTTGCCATTTACTTGTTGGTATTTTTTTCTAATAGTGGAATGGTATGACAAGGTGTTAATGCTGTTCGATTAAACCTACATTTTTTATCTTTCTTTCCACTATTGAAAAAAAACAAAAAGAAAAAAATATCAATAAGTAAATAGTAAAATATACACTTACTCTTAACATAAAAAGAAACGAACTGATGAGAGATAAATTCTCTGCACTGTTTTCAAAGTATAAACTATAAACATATGACAATTTAACATTAATCTAATGATAATTTGAATATAATCGATCAGTTTATCAATGAGAAGAAAATTTAGTTATAAATTATTGATACTTCATCGTTTAGATGAAACGTTTGTTGATCATTAAGAGGCGTGACAAGGGAAATTATTTCAACTGTTTAAACAGTGTCATTAGTCGCCAAAAACGCGTTAAAACAGTTACAAATTCAATGACTCCAAGCGTTTAAACATGTAAAACGTGTTAAAAGTTAATTTTTC